ACATGGGAGTTTTTTTCGTGTTTCATTTTAATGCTATCATAGTAAATGTCTTAAAAAAGACAGTTCGAATAAAAAAGGCAACAACGAAAGAATTTATATAAAGTGTTAACATGAATTTATTGAGTATTGATCATGTTGATGATTTTCTTTCTACAAAAGTACCAATTGCAAGTAAAGACCTCTTTAAATCCTTCAAATTTAAATTTCCATCGAAAACACTCCTCTATTAAACTATTTAAAAAAAACTACTTTTTAATAAAAAAAATAATAACCACTTAAAACCATATATTCATCTGAAGATATTTATTGGCCATCTCTGTTCCAATTTGTGCAGGACGATAGTTGGTGAAGAATGGGCGTTTAAGTTGTTTTAATGGCCGTTATTAAAGTGTGTACACACAAAGCACGAAATCCCTTTGACTGGTACAATACACGCTGTATGGAGACCAACCCTATAATTACAGGCGAATTAAGTGGACTGTAATACCGTAAAATATAAAAATGAAGCGGTTAACATTTCCAAGTCACAGGGAAATCTGTCATTATTTTATTTAATCTATATATATAATATAAACAAGGGATACAAGTCGTGGCCTCGCACTACCAGCACGGGTTCGTAAAATGCATTCACACGTGTAAACTGTATAAAATATCCTCTATTCCATCAAAGTTATTGTAGAAGTTAATATATGAACGAGTCATTACCAAAGTTCTACTACAAACACTTCATTAAAACCTGTAACATTGCAGGAAATAGCTAACATTTCAATATTTACATTGGCTGTCAAGTTGTCGTCCATTTTGCAGGTGTGTTTATGTTCCGAGTATTTTCATTGGCTGATGAAAAAACCGCTATTTGTCGCGGCTATATGCCGTTATTATCCAGATTATTATTATTCATTAGCCAATGAAATTGACAGTTACTAACAGAAGTTGGATTTACGCATGGAACATACGGGCAACATCAAAATGGAAGCCGAGGATAGAAATTATCAAAACAAACAATAATTGTTTCAATAATTTGTACCAGAAGATAATGATTGCATCATTCTTGGTGGTACATGATTGATTTTTACCGATTACATGATTAAACTTTCTTATATGAGCATACGTTTGCATTAGATGTCGTTTTACACGTGTAATTTTACAAACCCAAATTTTACGAACGTGTGTAAAAATGAAACATGAAAGGTTATTTTTAATAATATTTTGTCCATGTAACAAAGTGTATCATTTTTAATTGAAATTATCGATTCTTTCATCAATGTCCAACAATCAAAAGAAAAAAAAAAACTGTTGTATACTGCGTTATATTTACTTTTTCATGACTTGAGCAATTTTGAGTTGTATCCCTTGTTATATGATATACATAGGGGGAAAGGAAAAAAATGACAGAACCCCCTGTGTTCCAAGTTGGTTGGACCTCCGATTATATTTTCTATGATACATGTCGTCACCTTCTATTGTCTGTAGACTGGTAAAGGTGCTACACTTCCCTGGAAGAATCAAGGGGAAATTTCAACGTTGCCGTTCACACTGAAACAAAAGCATGTCCCTTGCATGTACCATGTAATATATTAAAACCATTCCTGAACATCTATATTTTGTATGCCGACTAGTACGTTAAATTTGTTAACGTTTTTAAGAAAAAACTATGCCAGTATCTGCCTTGTCATTCTTCTACAATTTTTTTTCTCTTTATTATTTCACAATGTCGTGCATAACATCCATCGACACACAAAAACGTGACGTGAACGTAGACGGGTTGGAGTAACTTTTCACAATCATGATGTATCAAATAGAGCACCATTACATATCATCGTTGTTTTTTCTGACATAATAATATTGTCCAAATGCTGTAGAGTATTTTTTTTTTTGAGTGAGTGAGTGTACGATATTTGAAATTTTATGCCTTACATAACATTTGTCACTTTTAATAAAGTAAAAATTTGCAGGAATACATATTACATGTATACTAATCTCGGTTTCATTAAAAAACACATCTGATGTGAATTTGACCAAGTACTGGAAATCTATTTGTTGAAATAAATATTGAAACAAGGTACTATTGTTTCGATAAATATTAAAATCAGGAAAAGTATAAAATATGACCGGTACAATTGTTCTTCAGCTTCCGGCGATACAACTCATTAATGACTTGTACCGCCGTTATTATGTCCCTTCCTTTATAAATCGTTCGTTTTTACATAATTTTCGAGATATAGTGCATTGTACAATTCATCTGTACTTTTTTATTGAGGAGGTCAAGGTCTTTCCAAGATGAACAACGTGCAATGGTTCCTTTTTTCTTCGAGTTTGACGAATCACCCGGATGCGTGCGCCGAGGTGACAATTACATTTTGTCCAAGTTGTGAATGAATCGCGCTGTTCCTTTATGCGGAACCAAATTTCATCAGCAGCGAAAACCTTTCTATCACTCGTATAATTCAATAACATCATAAAGTGATATTATTTCATCTATTTTGATTATGAGATATTAATAAGAAATTAACGATACAAAATCCATTAGTAGAAACAAATGACACACTAGAAAGCAACTACTTTTCCGGTTTGTATTCCCCTGGGATCAATAAGGATTGCATCGAGAATTGTAATCCAATTTGTTGACCAATATTTAAAGAATGAATTGACGCAAATTTGTGGTTTGGTGTTAAAACTGTCTCGGACGTGTAAATTGACGCGTAAAATTCACCAGCAGACGACCTCAAATACGAATGTGCGGACACGAAACAACACTTTCTATCCGAAAAAAATTGACACCATAAAAGATCCATTTTTCGTGCACTATCCGTGTTACATGCCTTATGTTTTGGGAAGTTGTGGGTTAAATGTAATAATTTTGAAGTGACAAAAGCCAATAGTGCGTAATACAACACTTGTCGTAAAACAGTCGAGAAAACCTGCTTAAAATGACGGCCAGAACCGTTTTGGATGGCAATTTTGTTAAAACAATGTCTCTACTGATTATCTGCATTTTCTTCAGATTACCGCCAAAATTTCGTCTAATAGGTTGATTACGAAGCGAACCCATTTAGAGCGTGTTAAGCTAGATGAATAATACATTGTACACAGTGTCCTATTGAAAATACAAAAGATTGTCATGCATTTATCTTGCTGTACTCAATGTATCTGTTCACAGTTTTAGAAGATGAAATTTGTGCAGTTCATTAAATCTATCACAAACTTGACAGGAATAATCCCGGTGGAAACTTGGTTATCATTTTCCCATGACACAACTAAGAACTCGATGTATTCTGGTTTGAACTTGAAAATGCTTAAATAGGCATTGTGACATTATTTTGATGATCAATGCAAGTTTTTGCGCGAGAGCTCGTGAACTTTTATAAAACTGATGTAAAACTACAAGACAGCCATTCTAGAGTTAAATAAACACTAACGTGATTAAGACATTTTAGAACTATATGTGAAAAGACATCGTTTCCACATGAGACAGTGGTAACTTTCAGACAAAATGATGTGTAATAAGATTTCTTACTTATTCTGAATTCCTGTACAAAAGTTAATGAAAAAATGTGTTCAAATATTCAAACATAAGAACTAAATAACTTTATAAACGCAAATATTTTTTTTATACAAGTCGGGAAAAAATTAACTAGTAAATGTACGAAAAACATGTTTGTACAAAACAAATGCTCCGTCCCAAATCTTCAATAAATAACTTTAAAAAGACCATGAGCTCTGAAAAATTCACCTTAGAGGTTCATCATTGGAGTTGACTGTCGTATTTCAGTACCTTAAATCCGTTAAATACAAAGGCCAAAGTTCAAATAATGAAGACATGGCAAATGTTACATTTATCGGAAATTCCTGTACAATTCCACCAACTGATTAATATTAGAGGTATAACTGAATATTTTTGGTCAAAATATGTCGTAAAGGCAAATATGTACTTTTTATAATAAAAGTGTGGAAATGAAAAGTATATACGGGTAATGTAGACACCTGTCGTGCGTACGACGGTTCGGTTTGTTTTTTACTGATCGTTGTTGCTGCTCGTGTTCTATGATAACGTGAATCGCTCCTTCTCGACAAAAAAAAAACAACAAAAACAAACAAACATTAACACTTACATTAAACCATGAGACCAACAACAAGAGCTGTCACTACAACAGCACAGCTATTGTAAGCGATTGATAGTAACTATAGGGTGTAAAGTTACGGGACTTAGCGACCTACATTTATAATTCTGAAGACAAGCGCAAAGATTCAAGTGAATGCCTTTGACAGTATTAAATGAAATATATAGTTGCACGCTATATATAGGCCTATTATTTTTCGAATTGTTTCATTTTAGAAGAATGTTTGACTGTCAGATATATTTGAGGTTTACTTTATCCAACTAGTCACACAATAGTTAACCTTAAAATTTGTGGTTATTTTATCCTATACAATTTACAAGGCATTGCTGTAACCATCGGACATAAATTAAGAACAGGTATGTTGCAAGTGCATGTAGTTATGTTTTCACAGACTATATAGTGTTCTAAATATAATTTCATTCTGGGAGAGACCACTATAAATGTCATGGTTACTTTCCAGCTTTACTGGTACAGGAAGGCCTCAGGGGCCTCTCTGGGTATAATTTTAGATACGCGAGTAGAACCACTGATGTTCCGAAAGTTATCTCGATAGCTTACGCACATAAAACAATCCAAAGTCCCTGGTGGGATTCGAATCTACAGCAGTGAGGGGCAAGTGGTTTGAAGTCAACGACCTTAATCACTCAGCCACGGACGCCGCGATATATTCAGAAAATGGCCCGATATGCCGCTATTGCCTCCAACAATTCATATAGTGACCGACGTCAGGTATTGTCATTTTAGAAATACTACAACAAACATGTAATAAATTGTTACTTCTGAGACAGTATACCTTTTAACATTCTGTCTTTATCAGTCAGGTCTGAAAGAATCGCTTAAGTTGTATAACTAATGAATGGACAATTACAACAAATAACATTCTGTGAAAGTATAATTTATTACACCGATCTCTAACAAACAAAAGAATAAATATAGTAATTACAAATTACCAATTATTATAGTCTTTACTATAAACACAAATATTACAAATTTGAATTACTATAATAATTTTCAGATTTCTACTTCACATAACACATTGCGTAACTTAGTAAACAATTTTATCAAAATGTCATCTTTCTCTGAAATAATATATACCTGAAGTTTTAACTACGGTACATGTATATTTATTTTTACATATGCAGCTGTCAGTTGCATGAGAATCACGTAACAAACATCATTATTTCTCTCTAAAACAATACATACTTAATAGATTTTGCGCATTGAAAAATGACAGCACAATTTTTTGCAAGACAAGCTCTGTCACATTTATGAATAATTGACATTTAAGTCAGGGAAGTATATTGTATACAAGACTATATTATTATTACGGGTACATTGTATCTGATAAAAATATGTATGCTTTATTGTACATATAATATCATACACACTCGTTATTCTTCCAAGCAAAGTTAACAGTGATTGAAATCTCTGTAGCATGTCAACATGGTATGATTTTAAACATAATATATATCATAAAGAGTTCAAAAGAATTCTTTAACTTTCACATTTCTGCGGACAGCATTGGAATATCCTTGCTGGAAATGAAACCATATATCTGTGGCCAGCACATTGGTCTTTATCTTTTCATCTGAAATATTAAATAAATAATGTGTTAAAAGGATAACCAATCATAGCATAAAATACGTGCAAGTTCCCTTACCTAGATTGTGTAATAGTTCTTGTCTTAAAATGTGTTACAGTCAACTCAAGACACAGTTATATAAAATACTAAAATTAAGCTGTCAAAAAGAAAGCAACCCATACTAAAAAAGAAAGGCCTGATTAAGGTGAAAGTTACACCCACAGTTACAGTACATGGTTAATCATTGAAATTTTTAGTTGAAAAGTATTGACAAATGATGGTCGCAAAGAAGAGTAAATAGAATATTGGTCAAACAAATTACCTCCTGATTTATTTGATTTAGATTCTGGTGTAGTTTTCTTCATAATACGACCAAAGAAGTCTTTCACTTGCTGTAAAATATAGAATTCATTTAAATAGTATACATATTATGTATTATGTACATGTATGTAATATTTTTATCTAACAGAAGGAAATTAAAATTTAAGTGTTGCTGAATTTGTTAAATTGATTTGTCCTACTTTAAATCAGGCACCGTTTATTATTGGTTAAAAATATTTCATTATTTAAATATTAAGATTGAGCAGGTAACATTATATAGTCTGGACAGACAAAATGGATGTGTAGCCTTCCCTAACTCTATGTTGTAGATCTATTATTATTGTTTCTGTAGTAAGCACCTTAATGGTTAAGCACTTTATCTAACTACTAAGAAAATATTAATCAATAAAATCTTAAACCACATATAAAATTACTACTACAGTAGTAAATTCATCTATTTGGTATTTAAGTAACACTGTTGTTATCTAACATTAATTGCTTTATGGGTACATTCAAACTTTACTGGTTTGGGAGACTTTAGACACCACCACTTCTTGCATAATTCAGATATCAACAGACCCCTGGATACATTGGTAGATAAATTCACTCCCACAACTGAACAGTAATTTCCAGCATACATTTTACATCTCCAAATTTGTATATTGAACTATCCTGCTTAATATATAGAACTGTCCTTTGTAGTTTGGAGGGTGATTTCAATAGAAAAAGGTTACAAATAAGCACACAAGAGTATAAAGTCGTCTACTCAAACTGCATGGAAGAGCAAGATGATTTTTCTTTTAACCGACATGAATAAGTCAATATCAATTCTAACATACAGAAGGCTAACTTGCTTTCATAAACAATACAAAATATATTGCAAATGAATACATTTTTTTAACAAAAAGCCTCTATTGTACTTACAGTTTCCTCTTGTTTGCCTAAAGGTTTAGCTGTTAGTCTCTGTAGATGATTTGGTATTGCTGGTGTTTTTGGTTCACCTTCTTCTCCCCTATCTTTTCCAGATGTCATAACTTCTAGTTTTCTGAAAGCAGTAAGGCAAAGAATAATACAAATATTTTTTTCCCATCATTTTCTACCTATTTTCTTCATTTTCTACCTATGGCAAATAATCAATTATGAAAAAAATAACAATAATTAACAACACATGTGCAATATCACCTTTTATAGAAACAACCTAACAATATATGCAATATTTTAAACTGAAACAGAAAATTATTTACAAAATTCAATGTACAAGATTCATCAGTTATTGCCATGTCACTTATCACTAAATGATGAAACTCATGAACCAATTTAGCGGACTGTTTTATTCCTTTTTGCTAGCTGATCTTTCTCTAGGTAACTCACTTTAAAACAAACCAATGCTAATTCTTACTGTTACATAAAGACCTATTAAGATTATAGTATTGCAGAGGAAAATATTGTGGCCTATTAATTCTTGTTTCCCCCCATACAACATGAAGCGATTATAAATCTATATTAATCTTAAACTTACTGAACATTTAATGGAGCCCTAGCTTGTTCACTTCTCCTCATTTTTTCTAACTCAATCTGAAATGTAACAAAATATATAAAATTCAGCTCTCTTTTTGTATACATTCTGAGCTGTTTAAAGGGGAATATCATCTAATTCTAATGTCAACAACTTTGTAAATATACCTTATGGTCGTTATGGATATATATGAATTAAATCATTGATAATGAACTTTTAAAGAAAGTGCTACGTTTTAATGAATGCCATGTCCCCTGTCATGACCTTGACCTTTAACCCCTTGATTTGTCAGGCATCAAAGTGCATGCACATACAAAGTTCTGAGGCTATATGTGAAAGGCCTTGCATATGATATGGTTAAAGCTTTGTGACAAACAGACACAAGTCCAAAATATATATACCTCCTGATATATAAGAGCATACAAATAACAGCATACTTTTTCAATAAATTAAAAGTTTTCCCTTGAGACTACTCTAAATGTCTTTACACTTATGTTCCAAAAGTACAATACTCTACATTTCTGTTGTCTGCTATCAAAGAAAAGCAACTCTTACATTTTGAGACAGAATACTTAACCCAGTTATCTGCATATACTAAGCAGATGTGGACATTTCAACCCTTTGAATTACAACAACTTTACTTAGACTTCATAATTAAAAGACTTATTGCTCAATTTTATTTATTTAATACTAAAATCCATTCAATTCCAAATACAATGTTTCTAAGTCAAAACCAAGGTAAGAATACTGAAGAAATTGAGCAAGTTTTGGGTCACTGTATACCTCTCTAGCCACCAACTGTTTGGATGCATATGACAACTGCCTAGTTTGCTTCAACCCAGGAAACTTTACCACTTCATCCACATGACTGAAAACATAATAATAAACACTTGAAAATCATCATAATGTAATAATAATAATTTACTTTTACCTATTATGCCAATATAAATTCCCTCCTTAAGAAAAGTCCATGACTAGAATGAAAGAAAATTATTTTTATGCATAATATCATTGCTATTACATTTTAGCTTAACATTCTTCACTTGCCAAACATGCTTTATCTCCTTTGGATCAATATAAATTAGTGCAATTTATAACTAATATAATAGATCAAGCAACCATGTAAACTCATCAATCTAATGAAAACATTCTTGAACAAAAGAATGCGGGAAATTTTAAAGTTCAATAAGGAACATTTTTCAGTAGAATTCCAGGTTATGGATCTTTGTCAGGGGCTGACAATTCTGACGCTACAATTATGATCTCAGAGATGTGTGAAGTTTCAAAAGGATAATAAGAAATAGAATTAAGGCAAGCGAAATCACATTCAAGTGTTGCACCAACACAGATACGAAGCTGAGTAGATGGCCTAAATATTCTTTGAATAGTTAAGCCACAAAGCAATCGTCTACATACACAAAGTCCAATACAAAAACTTACGGTTCTAACACATAAGTATATTGTCCTTCAAATGATTTTTCCTGATGATATGTCAGGTTGTAAGATATCATTGTTTTCACAAGCTGATGTAAATCTTCCTTCTCTTTAGAACTGTACAACTGGGTGTTGACCTGATAAATATACATGGAATCTCTATATATAAACTTACTTTCAATGGCAGATTATTATTGATATATTACAGACATAACCTTTGCAAGGCAACTATTATGGTCACTTCATTCCTTATATAAATCTTATTTCTTTTGTTTTCTTAAATGTTTATTACTCTTTTACTTGAACTTATATTGGTAGTCCTTTTGTTTCGGTTGAGTTTAAATTTAGACTGACACTTTAAGAGTCATATGGGGAATGTTCTTGCTTTACTAATGGAAGATAAACTCAGGTGCACCTACATCTTTTTTGTTTTATTTTTTAAAGTCATGAGCAGGTACCTGTGTAGAACCACCAACTTTCTGCAAACTACCTTGATGATTAACTATCAAATCTTTGACAAACTGACCTCATTTATAATGCTCAACAGAAAAGCAATGTTTGATGATTAAAATAATAAAAAATATCATTTCTCATTGGTAAAGAATCTTAAAATTGTTCTACATAAAACACTTGTTATACTTACTGGTCTGAATGTGGGTTGTAATATCTCCATTAATGATGGAAGTATCTCACTGACTATGATTGAGACATTGATGAATTTTCTAACACTGGGAGAGATATCTGTCATCATACACGATACTAGGTTCTCACACTTGGTTTTCTTCAGGTTACACTGTAAATTTAAACAAAAAACAATTATTCTATTACTACAGAGAAATAGTTTCTTTTACAATTAAATAATGAGTTTCTTAAATGGACTTGTAAAGCTTCTATTTTGGAACTGTCAATCATCATTTTTGGCAATATCAGGATAAAAAACTTAAGTTTGTCAGTCAACAGTATCAAGCCTGGTCAGACTGCACAGATGAGCAGGTTGGCCTAGCTCTATAAAAGCTAGACAGCAGTTGAACAATTTAAACATCAGTCCAATGGAAGTGAAAGAATTCAAAAACTGTTACCAAATATCATACATGTTCAACAAAATACGTTTAACACGATCATTTAATCTTTAATCTTTAAAAGTCATCGAGACAGATTTACATCACAAATCATCTGTAAAAGTTGACTATAAGATACTCAATTATGTAGTAAATTTAAAGTTGACATTTGTTGTTTGTATGTTCAGTGCATAGTTTGCTTTTGTCCAAGATTGCAAAGAAAATGCAGTGTTCAATCTAGAATAAATTTCCAGCAGGCCCTTCGGGCCCATAAACTTTTCAAAAGGGGGTCATTTGGGAAAAAAGGGGGCCAACACTTAAAATGAACATCAAATTCAAATAAGGTATTGTATCTTTTTAAGTTACTTGTTCACATACCATATATAGACCAAAAACGGTTGCAAAATTCCATAACAATCAACTCAACTAAAAAAATGACATTATTTGGACCTTTTTTGAGAGTTCTGTTAGCGTTGATGCAGGCTCAATTTTAAGAACTGATTGGTAAAGAAACAATGACATAATGTTCAAAGAAACATATGAATCTTATTTAAATGTTACCAGGGATATTTGATAACAATGTTCAGTTTTTTAATCAGCGCCCGATATATAAAGGAAAATCATATTTTGCAATTAGCGTATAAACTTACAATAGTCGCTCAAAACATTTACCCTTCTCAATATATCCAAGCTAAAAACAAAGTGTCAACAGGTGCTAAGACAATGTATATTGACATACCGGTACCTTTGATCTTTTGTCAGGGCAGCAGTTCTTACGTCACGCTTAAGATGTCTGTATTGATTAATGATATGCGCAATGTTTTAGCGCCGACCAGACAAAGACCAATCAAAGTTTATTTACTAAATTGTCAGACACTCCCTAGCCAATCATGTTTGATTAGCTCCATTTTTAAGACTTTTTTAATTGGTTGAAGGTGTGTTCGTAATAATTTATGCACACCTCTATAATTAACTCGCACTTTTTCACAAATATAAAGTTTTTTTTCCTCCGGAAAGTAATTGCATATTAATTTGTTTTGACCGTTCAAAAACTATAACTACACGCACACATTGGATTATCTGTGACGATTTGTTTTGTTTATAAAAACTGTAACTCAAAAGTAAGTAATAGTTACGGTACGAAGAACAGGTCTGCATAGTATTTACAGACCCAGAACGAGAGAGCGTAGCGATCAAGGTTTTAAAAGGGTTACCGAGTGCAGTAACTATCTTACCAACATGCTCTTGTTTTTCTATACAAACTTCAGTTTTGAATTCAGTATTTATTAATATTATTCACAAGAAACTTTTTATGTACTTAATCAGGTTTAAGATCATTAATGGCATTTTTTATGAGTGCGCCCGTCGGGCCCACAGTTGAATTTGTTTTGCGCCTGCGGTCTTTTCAGGGGGTCAATGGCGCAATGGCGCGCTCTAGATTGAACAGTGAAATGTCCTGCAGAATTCATGAATTCTAGTTACAAAAATAACAGAATGGAAAATATAGCCATTACAGTTTTTTCCTATAGGGTACTTACATCTACCATAGAGTGTGGGTATTGTATTTTAGGCACTGTATTTGAAGCAAACAGAAAATGGAACACAACAGGTAAATATGGTAGATATGGCATCAGTCTATAGTCCTGTAAATGTTGTATATATTGGGTAATATGGTCATTATAACACAGCCAATCTGTTGCCATGGATACCTGAAACAACATATATAACAATATTATATTTTTTTGATGAGTTATAAGTCATACAGATACTGTGTATATAGTTAAACTTTCAATCGAGGATGACCTCAGAAGATGTGTGCAATATCTCTATCACCAGTGTCACTTAAATGAAAAACAACCACCTACTTTTTATTTAGAAGGTGGCTTCATAACTTCCTCACATGAAAGAATCCCCCTCTAGTCAGATTTGTACCCACAATAGATTTGTATAATTCTCATTTGTATGTGAACTTTTTTCTCATCAAACTATTTTAATTTTACCTGGTTTTTTTTATCAATTGTGTATTCTCCCTATGTCATGAAAAATCAGAGCAAAATTTTTTCGAGAAAAAAAAAAAATACATTCCAACATAATTTTTGTATAAATGGATACGCCATCAGATATGTGACTGCTGACCAATTAATAACATTAACATTGTACCATATCATAAAGAATTCTCAACAGTAGATTAATATTTCTTCTATCAAATATCAAGATAAATTATCATTTAAAAACATCATTTATATCTATATCCTTATAAAAAGTTCCAACTAGACTTTAAACTTTCGTGGAGGCATCAGAAAAGTGATAGTGGCCTCATTTGCATTGGTATGAACTTAATTCCCTGATGTCATTGGTGTAAAATACAGACTTGTAAATCATTTCCAATAAACACATTGTGCATTTAACCTACACTATCCCTTAACAAAAGTTGCACACCCAATAATTAATTGTTGATCGCCTATTGGAACACAAGGGCAAAATGGCTGAATGTAAGGTAAACACAACATTTCTGTGAATTTTAGCTAAATGATGGGATGCCAAAAACAATTTATCAGACTATACATTCCCCCCATGTGTAATCTAATATTACAAGTTATTACACAAAACATTAAACTTGGAACTTTAAAATTTTGCAAATGATAAAATATAAACACAGGCATATACTTACACCATCCATGTAAGGATCTTTAAATTTACAGTCTAGATAATTTTCAAACAATCCCTGTGTGAGTTTATCATATTCTCCAGTACCCTGTACCTCAGATAATACATTATTAAACCTGAAATTTACAGTACAAACATTCTATTTTCAACCTTTTTATTTCATCTCTATAAAATTAAATAAATATCAACAATTTTCTCAAAAAAGTACAAAACATGTTACATATTAATGAATAATTTTTTTATCAAATGTGCAAAACATCTGGGATAAAAACGACCAAAGTTAAACAGAGTAATGTCCCTTTTACTACTCACGAATCATAAGATAATCAAGTGTGCTCATTGTCAAATGGAAGTAGGTATGCAAACATTAAATTATTGACCAAATATAAACAATGGACTAGCCATGCTTTAAATCTTGAACAGTCCATTTTATGTCACAGGAGTTAAGACCTAAAAACAATGAAGTAACCAACAAAATCGAAACTGTGCAGACTGTCAAGATGAGCCTCCTGGTAAACTGACAGAAAAAGTCATTCATCATTTTATAATCAGTTCTTCATTTCTCCTTGTATTGAAGACTTACTTTTTTCTCTCTTGAAATTAGGAATTAAAAATACTTCTGCAGGAAACATGAATAAAGTGCTAATTTAAGTGTCAGGGATATTTCAAGTAAAACAAATTTTAGCAGAACTAACCTTGCTGAAGGTGAAGTGTTGAGGACAAGATCTTTTACATTAGCATCCTGAATATTTACAAACTTCTGTCTGAAATATGCATCATAAATATCAAATTAACATACACATATCAGTGTATATACAATATCAAACAAAATGAAAATAAACTTCACATAATATGCAATGTTATCAACCTGTTTGTCAGCAAAGTTTGTGCTCAACTTAAACTTGAACGATGCCAACTGATCTAAAGCTCTCCTTATGAAAAAGCCTTGATTAAAATTACGTTTCACACACATTTTAGTGATAGAGCTTGCAAACTCTGACTGAATAAAACAAAAGATTTGTCTTAATATAAAAATTTACATCTTTAAGGTTCCTCAATGCCGAGGGTTCAAATCTCATCAGGAACCTTAGATTTGTTAATGTGACAAAGCTATCCAGCTAGCTCATAGAATGTCAGGAGCCCATTTGTGCCTTAAAGTAGTGCACGGAGGAAAACCTAAGGTCCCCACTACAAAAGCTGGAAAGTCACCATTGACCTTTACAAAGTGTGTCTTTTAGGTCTGGGTAATTAATAATAAATATGGTGTAAAAATGTCTTTTAGTATAGGAAATTAACATATAGAAGTACCTTTTAGGTCTGGGTAATGTCAGTACATCATACCAAACAGAGAATAAACTTTTATGTGAATCTTTCTGTCCTACAGCCATAGATTGTACATTCTTTATGTTCAACTCTTTACACTGACCATGTATAAACTGTAATATAAATATTTGATTATAACGAACATTTATGTCAGATAAACATTTCATAACACAAGTAACATGTAAAAAAATCAGATTTGAAGAAGGCTTAACTGTAAACTTATTTATAAATAACTTTCCTACACTTCTAAATTAAAAGTTTCATCAGAGGGTATGATAAGATGGATATGTTTACAGAGTTTACTGTGGCTTACTGAAATTGTCAGTATAAAATTATTCTACATAAATTGTACTCATAAACATTGCAAACAAGTATAACTGTTTATTTCATTATCATAATGTGATATAATTACCTGTAGAGTATTTAGACAGGAACGTATATCATTGTCAGTTTTCTCACATAAAGCTAACAATGTGTTCATATCAGATCTTAGTTTCTCTATCCGTACAACCTGAAAATATAACACAATGTGTTCATATCAGATCTTAGTTTCTCTGTCCGTACAACCTGAAAATATAACACAATGTGTTCATATCAGATCTTAGTTTCTCTATCCGTACAACCTGAAAATATAACACAATGTGTTCATATCAGATCTTAGTTTCTCTATCCGTACAACCTGAAAATATAACACAATGTGTTCATATCAGATCTTAGTTTCTCTGTCCGTACAACCTGAAAATATAACACAATGTGTTCATATCAGATCTTAGTTTCTCTGTCCGTACAACCTGAAAATATAACACAATGTGTTCATATCAGATCTTAGTTTCTCTATCCGTACAACCTGAAAATATAACACAATGTGTTCATATCAGATCTTAGTTTCTCTATCCATACAACCTGAAAATATAACACAATGTGTTCATATCAGATCTTAGTTTCTCTGTCCGTACAACCTGAAAATATAACACAATGTGTTCATATCAGATCTTAGTTTCTCTATCCGTACAACCTGAAAATATAACAATGTGTCATTATACATACCATTATACAGTCTTTTAAAACATAGGCCAGCACTCTTTACGTGACTCAATATCACCCAGAGCTCAATTTTTTTTTAGTAATTTGCTGTTTTCCCTTTAACTTTTCATGGCCAGATACAAATGTATTGTGTCTATTAGAAACAATGAAGCAATTTAAGTGTGAAATAAAAATTACAATACGAAAGCTCATTTATCTTTACCCATTTTTGTTTGACATCATCCACAGAAACAGTAGCGTAAGCATTTCTAAAACTAGAAATGTGTCATCATGCCACGGATGCCCCCGCATGCAGCCAAAATTTCAGATGTTATAATATTTAGTTCCAAAATTGTTTGCACAAATTATTGTTTTCATTTTAAGTTCAAAGCCCTTAAAACTTTTCAATGTTAACAGTAAACACAAACCATTTTCATACAATGTTTAAGACACTGAAATTATTCAGTCTAAACCTTTGGAAAATAGCATATTTCATATTTGTAGCCAAAATAATGGCTACATACATTTCCATAAAAGTACGAGTGCTGAAACTGAAAGTTCAAAATTTGTCCAATATTCAAGAAAGATAATTTTGTCCAAAATCATTGAACCACGACCAAATTCAAACTTAAACTGCTTATTCCTAAGATGTATCTATATTATTTTTCAAAGTGAAAGGGACATAACTCTGCCAAAAAATCATCGAACCATGACCAAATTCCAACTTGACCTGCACATTCCTTTGACATACCCATATGTCAAATTTGAGTTGAATATGTAACGCTGTTGGGTAGATAATGAACAGAAACTGTAAATTTCATATTATTTTCAAAGTGAAAGGGGCATTACTCTGCCAAATATCATTGAACCATGACCAAATTCGAACTTGGCCTGGGCATTCCTTTGACGTATCCATATGTCAAATTTGAGTTGAATGTGTTGTACTGTTGGGGAGATAATAAACAGAAACTGAAAATTTCATATTATTTTCAAAGTAAAAGGAGCATAACTCTGCCAAAAATCATCGAAGCATGACCAAATTCGAACTTGATCTGTATTTTCTCATGACATATCCATATGTCAAATTTGAGTTGAATGTGTTGTACCGTTGGGGAGATAATGAACGGAAACTGAAAATTTCATATTATTTTCAAAGTAAAAGGGGCATAACTCTGCCAAAAATCATCGACCCATGACCAAATTCAAACTTGACCTGTATTTTCTCATGACATATCCATATGTCAAATTTGAGTTGAATGTGTTGTACCGTTGGAGATAATGAACGGAAACTGAAAATTTCATATCATTTTCAAAGTAAAAGGGGCATAACTCTGCCAAAAATCATTGAACCATGACCAAATTCGAACTTGACCTGTATTTTCTCATGACATATCCATATGTCAAGTTTGAATTGAATGTGTTGTACCGTTGGGAAGATAATGAACAGAAACTGAAAATTTCATGTTATTTTCAAAGTAAAAGGAGCATAACTCTGCCAAAAATCATTGAACCATGACCAAATTCCAACTTGACCTGTATTTTTCTCATGACATATCCATATGTCAAGTTTGAATTGAATGTGTTGTACCGTTGGGAAGATAATGAACAGAAACTGAAAATTTCATATTATTTTCAAAAGTAAAAGGGGCATAACTCTGCCAAAAATCATTGAACTATGACCAAATTCGAACTTGACCTGTATTTTCTCATGACATATCCATATGTCAAATTTGAGTTGAATGTGTTGTACCGTTGGAGATAATGAACGGAAACTGAAATTTTCATATTATGTTCAAAGTAAAAGGGGCATAACTCTGCCAAAAATCATTGAACCATGACCAAATTCCAACTTGACCTGTATTTTTCTCATGACATATCCATATGTCAAATTTGAATTGAATGTGTTGTACCGTTGGGAAGATAATGAACAGAAACTGAAAATTTCATATTATTTTCAAAGTAAAAGGGGCATAACTCTGCCAAAAATCATTGAACTATGACCAAATTCGAACTTGACCTGTATTTTCTCATGACATATCCATATGTCAAATTTGAGTTGAATGTGTTGTACCGTTGGGGAGATAATGAACGGAAACTGAAAATTTCATATTATTTTCAAAGTAAAAGGGGCATAACTCTGCCAAAAATCATCGAACCATGACCAAATTCGAATTTGACCTGTATTTACTCATGACATATCCATATGTCAAATTTGAATTGAATGTGTTGTACCGTTGGGAAGATAATGAACGGAAACTGAAAATTTCATATCATTTTCAAAGTAAAAGGGGCATAACTCTGCCAAAAATCATTGAACCATGACCAAATTCGAACTTGACCTGTATTTTCTCATGACATATCCATATGTCAAATTTAAGTTGAATATGTGCAACCGTTACTAAGATAATGAACGGAAACTGATGATGACGGAATGACAGAATGACGGAAGGACGGAATGATGGAAGGACGGAACAGGGTAACACTATATGCCCCTGCCCTTACATGGCGGGGGCATAAAAATCCCAATTAGACAGATGTTGATGCTTAGTCACATAGAATTATCTTGATCACAAAGAAAAGACAACTTCTGGACACTGTATCAGCAGCTTTATACATAATGAACATATTATACATAGCTTATTTTTTTAATTCTACAGCTAGATTTTTAGCTTAAAGAAATCAAACTATTAACCCATACTTTTTGTTAATATTACAAATAATATTTCTCACCTCATACAACCTTCCAGCCAGCTTGGTTGATTCAGTTTGAGGGAAGCTAAGGATCATAGCAATCTGTCGTAATTGTCTTAACGCTGGTACATATCTGTATAATGTAGAACATATACAATCATTTACACTTAACCTGTTAATTTTGTGCCGAATTTGAATATTTCTTAAAAGGGATCTAAGTATGAAAATTTTATTATTAAGTATGGTAAAAGTCTGGTTTGACACTACAGATATAAACTGCCTAGCACTACACCAATGGTTTAGCAAGTCAAGCAAGTCAATGTAACCATAAGCTAAATATTACACATATATTTATCTTTTGAATTTGTAATATAAATACATGGACAATTTTTTGAAGTTCTTGAGGTTCTACATGTATTTAGAATCTTGAGAAAAATATCAGTTTAAACGTTGAGTATGTAGCTGTAAAACTATCAATTTGATCCCAAAAAGTGAATTTACCTGTTAAATAATAAACTATCAAATGCAAAGAGAAACAAATCTCATTTCATGTTTTGCTGTTGGAGCCAATTTGAAATGTTATAAATTAATTTCTCTTGCAGCCAATTGTTTTTTGTTGTTTTTTCTTCAGTAATTTTAAAGCCCCCTTTTTTTATTTAAAACAAAATACGCATCTTTTAAAATTTATGGGTTTAAACAAGTTGTGGGTCCAATAATTTTTTATTTGAGATAAAAGTACAAGTTACAAAATTCAAAAATTTAGCTTCCCTTACAGAATTTTGGACCAAAATGAAACAAAAAATAATTGGAAGGGGAAATTTTCTACCAAAAAAATTTTCAATGCAAATTAAAAACAAAATGTTAGGGAGGAAAAAAATGTGGGAACATAGTTTTTAACACTTACTGGTCTTTCAATAAAATGATTTTCCGCGTAAGTTCCCCCCCTCGTTTTTTCTTCTTTTTCCTTCTTCTGGCGTGTCTGATTTCTTTATCACATTTAGTAGTACATTAATGGCAGCCTGTGACAAAACATAAATCATTTCATTTAATTCCTTTGCACTGAAATTTTAATTTAAGAAAGTTATTTGAGATATATTTTTTTTTTCAATTTTGTGAATCCAATGAAACATGGATTCAAAACTGAAATTTTTTATTTAGTTAGTAAAGATGGGTTTTTTTCACTTCTGTGTAACCACTGGAACATTGATTCAAATTTTGTAACTCTACCTCAAATAGGGTAGGTTTATCTTTTAATAGATAAACTTACTAAATTTCATAAGATCATACAGAAAATTTTGCTGCTCCATAGTAAAATCCTATTTCTGTCTTTACTTTCAAGTCTGCTTAATTTGTTTCAAGTTTTTAAATGAAAAAGGAAACTTTTGTTTTACATAGAGTAACATTTTGTACTTAAAGTAATCCACAATTTATATACTTTTAGGGCATAATTTTAGTCAAGTGTTTATTGTGAAGAAGCGGAACCGTGCCATTATATATATATATGTTTAAGTTGATGTGTTGTTCTTTCTAATTTACCTCTACCTAAACCTGGGATTTAATATTTTTGTTAAAAAAAAAAAAAAAAACTTTTTAAGTCAACTTCCAATTGTGGAAACGAATGGTTTAAATCAGTGGTTCAGCCAAAATGTTTTAAAGTCTCCACTTTACCACAACTTTTTGGAAAGTGGCATATTTTTGAGGAGCTTGGCTTATATAAATTTACACACTTGATTGACTTATAAGTAACAAAATTGCATATGATTTCAACTGATTATGAGTGTCACATGACCAATTATCAGTTTGCAGCCAGGGGCCGAAAACTCATAATCATAATTGGCCCGCTAAACACAAGTATGCACACAAACTGAAACAATGATGTCACATTTTAGTGAAAGTAGGTTTTAAGTATGGATCCTTAATTTTATGAAGAGAGTTTATGCATATTATGCACACACAGATTTATTGAAATTTAAAGGGAAATGCTTCTTATTTCTAGTGTACTAACTCTGAAGAAGCTACTGTACTGGGATCCTACATATTTACCGGACAATCAGTTTACCGGACAAAAGCTATTACTGCTGAATACTGCTTATTTTTTTGCTTCTATTAAAAAATCATACAGTCTGAATCGTACACATACTTTCTCTTTCAAAGTAAATAACAACAAAACCACTCTCAGGTAAATATTGTTGATTCAGTTCTTTATCTACTAACATGCCCTTTCGTTTACTAGTTATTTCATGACCTGGTCATGACGGGGAAAAATCTGTTCTGCGCAGGCCCGAATATGGAGACCCTTAATAGGTTTTTAGATAGGTTTCACTTTTAATTCTTTTCAACATTACCTCAAGAGACAATCGTAACATATTTCAATGATAAAAAGTTATTTCAAATTTAGTCTAAACAGTATCTCGTTGTTGTCTTTTACAAAGGAGTCGCATTAAAAAACATATAAGGAAATGGTTTACGCCATGGGTGGAAACTTTACATGAAATGTAAATAAAAAAGATTTTATGGCTTTTGTAACCTGCTACATGATGACCAAAAGGAAACTGTATGACAAAGAACAGAATTTCATTAGAATATCAAAATGTTTCATTCGTTTAAAGATCATGAAGAATCAATACGTTAATTGAGTTAATATAGTGTTAATAGTGTTAATTTCAATTACACCCTATATATCGGCCTCTTCATAACAGGCATGGCTGTCGTATCTATTTCTAGTGACATACTGGGTTTTTTAAATATCTTAACCTTTCCATTTAATAGTGGTTGTTTCCTTGCTGATTTTTTAAAGATTAATTTCAATTCACGACTTCAAAAATGTTTGAAACACCGTCCGGTAAATTGAGTTGTTTACACAATTTTTTTCCTCTTATAATGCCCTACTTTATAGAAACATTTCTACGGTCACATGTTTAATTCCATGTTTTATAAAGGAATGTTTACGTGCATTAAGAACCCAAAATTAATTCGGATTCAATTCCATTCTTTTTTTATTATTTTAAATAAAAGTTACAAATAAAAGACTTCATATTTTGTCTGGTAATATGTAGGATCCCAGTACAGTAGAAACCTACATAGACAGGAATTTCAACAAAGAAATATCAAAGAATTTTTTTTTTAAATGCTAAGTACTATTAGATCTATTAAGTGTGTTAAAGACATTAATACACATCATAGATGGGCCGGAAAGTGATAATCACCCCTGCAGGCTGATTATCACCTTCCAGCCCTACTCTGCCGTGTATTAATCTCTTATTACATGTGGAGGTGTTATATAACTTTACCTGAGGTGTTATATAAATTTACACAAGGAGCTGTTATATAAATTTACATGAGGAGCTGTTCTATTAAAAACCTAAGGAGCTGTTATATAAATTTACCTGAGGAGCACCATCAATTTCATCAATAACGAGACAATTAGGTCTTGGATCAGCCCCTAGCACTGCTTTCATCTGGGTAGCTGCCTCTATCTTATTTTTAAACACCTCAGCTGCTCTATCATCACTGTAATCAGATATATATATGTCAACATTAATAATTTTGGCGTAATGACAAATAATACTGTAGGAGTGACTTCCCAAACTTGCAAATTTGTTTGAAGTTTTTTTGCATGTGTTTTTGCTTGGTTTTTAAATCACATTGTAACAGTCTGGAGTTTTCTTCCTAAAATGAAGAAAATAACAGAATCTAACACTGGGTTAGGAAGTGGTTGGGAAATCCAAACCTGACAGTGATTGGTTCTTCAGAAAACTAGCCTCGTGACAAGACTATTTTTGACCCCCTGAGCAAGACATATGTAAAGGTCCACTAGGAATTGCTACACTTCAGCAAAGAGGGTTTGAATGACATTTCCTATGGTAGTCTATGGGCATCATACCTTCTAAGAAGGTTTTCAAATTCCTTTAAATCTATTATGCATCTGTTGTGTAAACACTAAATAATAAAGATAGCACAGGCTCTTTAATAACTTTGTTTAATTCCTGATTACCTGAAGTCAACTCATATTAATGACATCAATACAATAACATATGAAAAGGCGTGTCACGTTAACGTGACGCTAATATTGGCGAAATAACTGATTACATGCACATGTATGCAATAGCATCAGACAGAATATATGTATATAATTTTTGTACAGAGAGCCGCCTAAAATCATTCATGTCAAGACTGGTAAAAAAGAACTACCACGTGCTTAAGAAGCAGATGTTGTCTATAAAGTAATTTTGAATAATGTAGCTCAATGAACAACTGGGATTATACTTCCACATAAGCTCACCTCTGAGCTTAATGAACAGGCTTAAAATTAACGATTTTTTTCTGTGATTATAAAACCAAGGTAAGAATGTTACTTTACCTAGCATTCATTTCCACAACATTGTAGCCAGCATGTCTAGCTATAATATGAGCAAGAGTTGTCTTTCCTAACCCTGGTGGACCACATAACAAGGCCACCTGGAATGAAAAATATTAAATATTCTGTTATTCTACTTCTTATGTGTTAATAAATGCAAACATCTGCATGTGCAAACAATTTTAAAACTGTAAAAGTTGAAACTATTTATTGACAGTTTCAGAAGTCTTTGCACTGCCAAAGGAGTTGAAATTTGTAATTAAAATTACTTGCATCTTTTAATTGATTAAAAATTAAAGACAAGAGGGCCATGATGGCCCTGAGTCGCTCACCAGAAACAACTGCTTTTCAGTGTATTCTAATATTAAATTTGAGCATAGAATATGTTTAAACAATAATTTGAAAAAATGCAATGACCTGGGGTATCTAAGCTTTGCTTAAACCAAGCTAACCAAATTAATATAAACAAACTTGATAAAAAAAAAACTACATAAGAATGCTACAAAGTTTGGTGATGATGTTCGAAGGTTTTTTCTATTTTTAGCTTCAGTGGCCCCTAAAAGGGGCTAATCAAATAAATATAAGCAAACTTGATAAAAGAGTACCCAAGAATGCTACAGACAAAGTTTGGTGATTACCCATCAATTGGTTCTGAAGTAGAAGGTTTTTCTATTTTTAGCTTAAGCAGCCCCTAAAAGGGGGCCAATGAAATGAATATGAGCAAACTTGATAAAAGATTACCCAAAAATGCTACAGACAAAGTTTGGTGATCATCCATCAATTAGTTCTGTAGGAGAAGATGTTTAAAAGTATTTCTATTTTTAATTTTAGCGGCCCCTAAAAGGGGCTAATCAAATTAATTTGAGCAAACTTAATAAAAGACAACCAAATAATGCTACAGACAAAGTTTGGTGATCATCCATCAATTAGTTATGTAGCAATAAATGTTTAAATGTATATCTTTTTTTAATTTTAGTGACCCTAAAAAGGGGCCAATCAAAACAATATGAGCAAACATGATAAAAGACTACCCAACAATGCTTCAGACAATGTTTGGTGATCATCAATCCATGACTTCTGTAGAAATAGACATTTAAAGGTATTTCTATTTTTAGCTTTAGCGGCCCCTTAAAGGGGCTAATCAAATTAATATGAGCAAACTTGATAAAAGACTACCCAAGAATGCTATAGACAAAGTTTGGTGATCATCCATCAATTAGTTCTCTAGAAATAGACATTTAAAGGTATTTCTATTTTTAGCTTTAGTGGCCCCTAAAAGGGGCCAATCAAATTAATATGAGCAAACTTGATAAAACAGTACCCAAGCATGCTACATACTAAGTTTGGTGATTATCCATCAATTAGTTCTATAGGAGAAGACGTTAAAAGCGTTTTCTATTTTTAGCCCTAGAGACCCCTAAGAAGGGCCAATCAAAATAATATTAGCAAAGTTGATAAAAGACTACCCAAGAATGCTGCAGACAAAGTTTGGTGATCATCCATCAATTAGTTCTCTAGAAATATACATTTAAAGGTATTTCTATTTTAAGCATTAGCTGCCCCTAAAAGGGGCCAATCAAATTAATATGAGCAAACTTGATAAAAGACTCCCCAAGAATGCTACAGACAAAGTTTGGTGATCATCCATCAATTAGTTCTCTAGAAATAAGCATTTAAAGGTATTTCTATGTTTAGCTTTTGTGGCCCCTAAAAGGGGCCAATCAAATTAATATGAGCAAAAGTTTGGTGATCATCCATCCATTAGTTCTGTAGAAGAAGATGTTTAAAGGTTTTTCTATTTTTAGCTCTGCTGACCCCTAATAGGGGCCAATACAATTAATATGAGCAAACTTGATAAGACACTTCCCAAGAATGCTACAGACAAAGTTTGGTGATCATCCAACTATTAGTTCTGTAAAAGAAGATGTTTAAAAGTTTTTCTATTTTTAGCTCTGCTGACCCCTAAAAGGGGCCAATTGAAATGACATGAGCAAATTCAAGTGTGACTGTCACAAGGATGCTACAGACCAAATTTGAAGTAAATCTGCCTAGTAGTTTCAGAGAAGAAGACGATTGTTGACGCATGACGAGGGACGCCGGAGTATCCCCTTTGATACTAATAGCTCACTTGAGCCTTCGGCTCTGGTGAGCTAAAAATAATCAAAATTTTACATTTCATTTCAAGCATTGAAGCTTTCATGCCTTTTTTACGGTTTTTACTAAACTGAATTTGTTTTACCTTTTGCAGGGGTCTTTTAAATTTATCCAATTCATCAAGAACCTCTGGCTGATTTTTCTTCTTGTACTTGTTCTCCTCTTTTTTCTTTTCCTTTGGTTTAATAGGTAGGTCTTTATCAAATACAACATAGTCCCACATCTTTAGCCAGTGTAGTAAAGTACGATTTATGTTCTGAAAGTTAAAATCATTACAACAATGTAATTTCACAATTTACATCATTACATCAATGTTATTTCATATTTTACATCATTTCTTCATCCCATTTCATATTTTACATCATTTCATCAATGTTATTTCATATTTTACATCATTTCATCAATGCTATTTCATAATTTCTTTCATCAAAAGCAGATGGCCATTTTAAGAACTTGTTCTTCAATAAACTTGCATCAATATGTTCCTTAACACACATTTTCAAAAGGTGCTTCCTTTATCAAGATTGGTTTATAAATATTCAGACTTAACATCTTAAGCATCTTGTCAAGATACACATATACGTACCTCTTCACTTAATAAATCTGTATATCTCTGTGGCGTGTATTTCTCTACCCATAACAATTTTTGTGGGCCCTCTGGTATAGATAATGAAGGAGCATGATTTTCTTTATCCTCCTCTTCATCATCATCCATAAATCCCTGATCCTCGTCTAACTGCCTAGTAAAATAATAAACTCATATTTCACAACAAATTCAATATGTACATTTTTAATAGCTTATAAACATGATATGGAAATATGCAATTATACATCTTAATTTCATAAATTAATTTCAGAACATTTACAACAAGGCCCAGGACTATTCAAGTCCATCACATAAATTAAAACCCATAGACTTAAGATTTAACTATTTCAAACATCAGGATATTGCAAAATCTATCAACTGACATATAGGTGAGATTCAGGTAATAGACAAATTTTTTATTGTACATGCATTTGTTAGCATTTAAATATATTATGCTCAACTATGATATTTGAAAAAACTGATGATTAGTATATAGTCTCTTTTGAAAGGTAAAATAAACATCTTTTGAATACACATAGAGAAAATATGTTATGTTTTAAACTCACTTACTATACACACTATAGGTAATCACAGTATGATTACATAGTCTCATTAAAAAAACTGACAGATAAGAATCGATAGACCAAATTAATTTGACAAGTAATAGAAAATACAGCTGCCAAACATAGTTCATACTTTCACTTATACATATTACACATATTCAGGTAGAATTTACTAGATTTCAACTAGAACCCTTAGCTGAATGCGATTCATACCCCCACCAATGTCCTTGACAGAAGTCGACTTGGAATGGTGGTAAAGGGAATAACTTAAGTGGCACAAATACATATACATAAAAAGAAATTATCTCTGGTGAAAAAAAAGACAAATTGTACAGGTAATGGTATAAATAAATATTGTCAAATAATGTTCGAAACAGTTACAAATAACCTTTCATTTTCCCAATGTACTAAACATTTTCTAAGTCAATTTTTGACCTTCAAGTGTGGCCTTGACCTTAAGCTGGCACAAGGGTAAGATGGGTTCAGCACATTGCCCACTTGGGGTGAACATTTGAGTAAAGTTTGAAAAAAATTCTTCCATAAGTATAGAATTTATAGAGTGGACATGACACATATTGTCTATTATTGATTGTATGTAAATTTAAAGACTTAATTTGTCAAAATGCAATACAGAGTTATGAAACTTGACCTGCATATCTTATTTGTGACACCTCATATATCTTTTAAGTTTCAAGCAAATACCTGTGCTAGTTTCAAATACATGTTAAAATTTAAGAACATTTTCTAAGTCAATTTTTGACCTCAAGTGTGACCTTGACCTTAAGCCGGCACAAAGGCATTATGGATTCTGCAAAGAACCTTGAGGTGAACATTTGAGTAAAGTTTGAGGAAAATTCTTCCATTAGTATAGGTTTTATAGAGGACATGACATATTGTCTAATATTTGATTTTATGTAAATTTGAAGACTTAACAAGAGCCATGTCAATATGGCCATCCCCCGCCAAATGGCTCATTGGAAGAATGTATATGTAGTAGAGCAGAATAATTCCATTTTAAGAGGTCTTTTGGTAATGAAAACTGATGGCTATAGTGATTACAGATTTGAAACCTATGTGAATACTGATGGCTGAAAATAACAAAGGGCAATAACTGAAAAATAATGCAGGGTAGGTTTTCATTCTTGTGTGCTGCATCCCTCCTCAGTAAAATCTATCCACCTATGAAGTTTCAAGTTGATACCTCAAATACTTTTTGAGAAAAAAATTGAATTGAAAAATTAAGTATGAAAAAATAACAAAGGGCAATAACTCAAAAAATATAAAAGGTAGAGTTATCATTCTTGTGCACTGCACACCTCCTGAGTTAGATCTATGCACCTATGAAGTTTCATAATGATATCTCAAAGGCCTTTTGAGTTATGCTCTGGACAAAAATTAATTTTGAAAAATAAAAAAAGGGCAATAACTAAACAATTATGCAGGGTAGAGTTAACGTTCTTGTGCACTGCACTCTTCCTCAATGAGATCCATCCACCTATGAAGTTTCAAGTTGATACCTCAAATACTTTTTGAGATAAGCTCCGGACAAAATAGTATGAAAAAGAACAAAGGGCAAGAACTAAAAAATTGTACAGGGAAGAGTTATCATTCTTTTGCACAGCATTCCTCCTCAATAAAATCTATCCACCTATGACATTTCATGTTGACATCTCAAACACTTTTGAGTTATGCTCCACTCGGGTGAAAAATTATGTATGAAAATAACAAAGGGCAATAACTCAAAAATTATAAAAGGTAAAGTTGTCATTCTTGTGCAGTGCACACCCCCTGAGTGAGATCTATGCACCTATGAAGTTTCATTTTGATATCTCAAAGGCTTTTTGAGTTATGCTCTGGACAAAAATCAATTTTGAAAAATAACAAAGGGCAATAACTCAAAAATAATGCAGGGTAGAGTTATCATTCTTAAGCAGTGCACTCCTCCTCAATGAGGTCTATCCACCTATGAAGTTTCAAGTTGATAACGCAAATACTTTTAGAGATATGCTCCGGACAAAAATGTCGGACAGACGGACGGAAGGTCGGACGGAGACTATTTCTATATCCCCCACCGCCTTTTCGGCGGGGGATAAAAAGGGGCATAACTTTGTTAAAATGCAATACAGAGTTATGAAACTTGACCTGCATATCTTAATTGTGACACTTTACATATTTTAAGTTTCAAGCAAATACCTTTTCTAGTTTCAGAAATATTCAAATACATGTTAAAATTTAAGAATATTTTCCAAGTCAAATATTGACCTTCAAATGTGACCATGACATTAAGCCGGCAAAAGGGTGACATGGGTTCTGCACATTACCTTGTTGAGGTGAACATTTGAGCCAAGATTGAAGGAAATCTTTCAATTAGTGTAGGACTTACAGAGCGGACACAACATACTGTCAAATATTTGATTGTTTGATATTTGACCTTAAATTGTGACCTTGACCTTGAGCTGACACATGGGCAACATGGTTTCTGCACATCCCCTTGTTGAGGTGAACATTTGAGCCAAGTTTGAAGAAAATCTTTCAAATAGTGTAGGACTTACACAGCGGACACAACATACTGTCTAATATTTGACCTTCAACTGTGACCTTGACCTGGAGCTGACACATATGCAACATGGGTTCTGCACATCCCCTTGTTGAGGTGAACATGTCAGCCAAGTTTGAAGAAAATCCTTCAATTGGTATAGGATTTATAGAGCGAACACGAAACTGGAGACGAATGGACCGACCGACACAAGCGAATCCATTATAGCCCCCCCCCCCCCACATTTTGTAGTGGGGGTATAATAAATTTCTGCAATAAAAGTATTTTACCCAAAGATGAGCATAGTATATTTCTATCAGGAATCTTTAGATAAAATTGTATGCTAAATCACTTGACAGACATTAAGAACTTTTTTCAGGGTAAATTTACCACAAATGTAATCTGTGACTCGTGCTTTAACATACAATTGTGATTTTAATATCCAAAGTTCAAGCACAAAAGCCCTGAAACATCCTAAAGTTAAAGCTACAGTTGATATGTTATGATCTGATAAATTCATGATACTTCACCTAATGATTTGTTTAGTGTTAACTTCATCACACAAATTTATATGAAAGTGCAAGTATGATTTTTTATCATTGCGAACCTACAGTTTTTATAGCTTTTTTTTTTTAAATACTCAATTTAAATGAACTGAACCTAGTTACATACCTTCTGACATCCTCACTTAATCTCTGTGATTCTGCTATCAGCATATTTCTTCTCTGTATTGAAGGGAACATAAAAACAAAATATGTAACACATTTAATAAACCATCTTAAATTTTTAAATGCAGGTGAAATGTTACATTTTTTTTTGTATTATTCATGTTTGCTTTATTTTCCATTTCATATGATAGTAAAGCAGGACAGAAAAAGTCAAATGTACAGGTTTATCTTTTAAAACAAAGCGAAAATTTCTTTAATTAAATTACAATGACATTTTTTTATACTTCTCTGAGTGAATGAGTACTATTTTTTTCTTCAATCTGTGTATAGACATACAATGACTACTAGACAAACAATAAATTCACTCCCAACATTATTTATTATTAATCTAACAAAACATTCCCATACCTCTTCTTCCAGTTGTTCCCTTAATACAGATATTGGAACATTTAACAAACTAGAACCATCAAGCTTCTTCCCAAAACTATCAAACTAAAACAAAATTATAGATGATATTTCAATTCAATGCTATTACACTGCTTCCTTATATGGACCAGAATATCTGGCTTGAGAAAAACTGTTTAAGGCAGGAGAGTGGCTCTCAGTCTGAATAGTTTCTACAATAGCCAGATATTACTTTCAGTTCATGACAACGTGTTTAAATATATGTTTGGTTGTCAAAGAATGCAACAAACTTCAAACAGAGTAAAACGTGACTAAAAATGTATATAATACATGGCTAAAAATAAACACAAAAGTTAAAATTCAACCAGTGAAGACTAAATTAAAGATCAAATGAACATTCATAATCTTATATCATTGATAGTTAATGTTTGGTATAAGAAATTTGACTTTTTTTTAAAAGGAATAGGTTTCATTTTAACTTGGTAACTGCCAACAATCCCCTGCATTATGTTATAGGCAACCTGCTTACTTTTGGTCGTATCTTTTTTATTTCTATCTGGCTGGTACTTATAGATCACTTTAATAAATGACAACGGCTTCTTTCAAACAAATCAAAGTCTATTAACTCCCTGATAGATAGCAATATATTCACATACCTGTTTATCATAGTCTAGATCATCTTTGAGCTCCATATATACACGGTTACCCTCTGTTCCTGTTGTTGGTAGGTAAGATGTGGTAGGTATTCTTTTAAACACTCGTTGTCTTTCAAAGTCATAATCTGTAAATCAAAATTGTACACTAAATATTTACATCATTAAAGGCCCATTATGCCCGAAAAATTTTGCTCCTTATAAAGAAAGGAAAAACATGAGTTGTATGGTGTTTGAGAAAATGGTTCAGGTAATTGAGCAATGAGTAAATGTTTTAAAACTATAAACGTAACACCAAATTTAAAGTTTTGAGAAATAGAAATTAATGTTTTTTTTTTTTTTTTGTTTTGTTTTGGGTTTTACGTCACATCGACACAGTATAGGTCATATCGCGACGTTCCAGCTTTACTGGTGGAGGAAGACCTCAGGTGCCCTTCCATGCATTATTTCAGGCACGAACGGGCACCTGAGTAGAACCACCGACGTTCCGTAAGCTAGCTGGATAGCTTCCTCACATGAAAGAATCCAAAGTCCCTGTCGGGATTCGAACCCTCAGCGGTGAGGGAGAAATTAATGTATTTCTGGGGCATAATGAGCCTCTAAGGAAAAAATCTATTTAACTGGTTATCATGCTTGGGCCACTATAAACAATTTCTTGAAAAACAAGAACGTGTTTGTTAAACACAAATGCCCCCGGCTCAGATTCTTGTCAGTAGCAATACTTAAACAATTTTTACCCATTCACTCAGTTATGGACAGAAAAATCGCCAAAAAAATTGTAAACACAAGTTTTATAGCTCGACAAAGTCATTGCATTTTGTAATTGTGAAATATATAAGTTGCCAAGTCATTGCTCTGACTTGTGAAGTTGAAAAATATTCAACTTCATGCAAGTTATCTTCCTACCAAATATGAAATACATCTGTCATTAAATAAAGGCTGTATGGGCAAAAGTGTAAAAATCTATTTTGAGCACTGGTGACCTTGACCAAACTGACCCCTAACTCTATCCAAAAGAAGAATACCATGTAAGATATCTTCCTACCAAATATGAAATACATCTGTCAATAAATAAAGGCTGTATGGGCAAAAGTGTAAAAATCTATTTTTTGCACTTGTGACCTTGACCCAACTGACCCCTTACTCCATCCAAAGGAAGAATACCATGCAAGTTATCTTCCTACCAAATATGAAATACAACTGTCAATAAATAAAAGCTGTATGGGCAAAAGTGTAAAAATCTATCTTTAGCACAAGTGACCTTGACCCACTGATCCCTACCCCAATCAAAAGGATGAATACCATGCAAATAATCTTCCTACAAATTTTAAAATATATCTGTCACTTAATAAAGGCTGTATGAACAAATGTGTAAAAATCTATTTTAGCACAAGTGACCTTGACCCACTGATCCCTACCCCAATCAAAAGGATGAATACCATGCAAGTAATCTTCCTACCAATTTTAAAATATATCTGTCACTTAATAAAGGCTGTATGAGCAAATGTGTAAAAATCTATTTTTAGCACTGGTGACCTTGACCCAACTGACCACTACCTCCATCAAAGTTTATGTTTCTATCAATTATAAGTAACATCTGTCTATAGAATAAGGTCAATACACCTGTAAAAATGTAAAAATCTTTTTTTAATATTGGTGACCTTGACATTGGTAACATTGACCTTGACCCAAATGACCCCATACTACACCCAAAGAAGGAGGTGTTTGTATTAAACTAAGACATCAACTAAAAAATAAAGGCTGTATGAGCAAAAAGGTTTATATTTATTTTTTAAACCAGTGACCTTGACCTTGACCCTAGAGACCGCTTACTCCAAAAAAAATTAGAGGCCCATCAAAGGTACTAAATATGAAAGATATCAGTAAAGAAATTAAGCAATTAGGAGAAATTTAAGATAAATCCAACTTGCCGAAATAGGTTAACCAGACAAGGCCCTATTTTCAAAGTGAAAAAAGGGAAATAACTGGGAAATATGGATGACACAGTTATATAACTTGGCAATATCATGTGCTTTGTATTGATAAGTAAGTGTGGAAATTATAAAGCCATTAGTATAGATAGAACTTAAGATATTTCCAACTTGCTATTTTAGGTTAACCATTATTCATTTTCTAAGTGCTGAAAAGGGCAATAACTTGGTAAAAATGAAAGCCAGAGTTTGAAACTTGCCCAGATCATGTACTTTGTATTGATTAGTAAGTTTGTAAACTTAGAAGCCATTGGTACTGGTAGAACTTAAGAAAAATCCAACTTGCCGTTCTAGGTTAACCTCGTACGGACAGACGGACGGACGGACAGACAGACTGTTCAATTACTATATGCCCTGGGGCATAAAAAACAACCTATGGACTGTGTAATTGCAAACTAAAATTCAAAACCTAATATTTCTATAAAATATTTTCATATTTCTTTATATTTTGCTACTGTTTTAATTTACACTGACACTGTTGATTGTTATATGTTAACCTTTCAGCTTTTCTGACAGTGGAAGACCTTGTGTTATTATATAATTGTTGCTTTTAAAAGACATGTTTCCTTAAAATGATTTTAGTTTTTGTATTTTTTTCTTTCAGTATCCATTCATTAAGTAATAGAAAGAGCACCGAAACACGAGGCTATCTGATTGGTACGAGGGGGCGTAGCCCCCGAGTATTAATCAGATTGCCGAGTGTTTTGGTGTTCTTTCTCTTTTGTATCATAGTCAAACATAAAATCACGTTCCCTGCTGTCACAATATGAAACCCCGGCAAAAATGAACCAATGAACGAACATCTGAATATGACATTTCTGTCGCCCTTTCTCTGCCGTCACAATATGTAAACCCCAGCAAAAATGAGCCAATCAATGGGCATGCTCTGGAGTGCGGGTAACTAATACCCGCACTCCAGTTAATGCACTGTGCATGTATATGTATACGATTTAACCCTGACACATTTTCAACAGAAAGGTCTCCAAACTATGATTCAAGTAAACATATTAACTTCTTTATTCTATGCAGTGTAATAATTTACCTGTATTTATGGACACCTCAACCATGCAAACAAGAATTTGTAACAGAGTTACCAACGTCTCCCGCCTCGGGAAATTTTATATGAAGCATAAAATTGTGCTATTTCAAAAGATTGAGGTTATAATGGATCTCAGGACATTTACTCCAAAATTATGATCAATGCTAGATCTGCAAATGTAACAATAAATTTGTTAAAAAAATAAAATGAAACACGGAATTTAAAAATCTATCATGTTAAGATTTGACCTCTTAGTGTGACCTTGACCTTGGAGGTAGGGGAGCAGGTGTTGTGCATGACATAACGTCTTATTATTGAGACTATTTGTGCCAAGTATTTTCAAAATCCCTTGAACTATGAAGAAGTTATAGATTGGACACAAAATATACCCTTATAATAACAGACTATGTAAATCTTTGATCTCTAAGTGTGACCTTGACCTTGGAGGTAGGGACACAGATGTTACGCATGACATATCATCTAATCATTGTGACTATTTGTCCCAAGTATTTTCAAAATCCCTTAATCTATGAAGAAGTAATGGACGGGACAAAAATATACCAAATAACAGACTCTGTTAACTTTGACCTCTAAGTGTGACCTTGACCTTGGATGTAGGGGTGCAGGTGTTGTACCTTACATATTGTCTTATTATGGTGACTATTTGTGCCAAGTTATTTTAAAATCCCTTGAACTATGAAGAAGTTCTAGATTTGACACAAAATATACCCTATAACAGACTATGTTAATTTTTGACCTCTAAGTGTGACCTTGACCTTGGAGGTAGGGATGCAGGTGTTGCGCATGACACATCCTCTTATTATAGTGACTTTTTGTGCATAGTATTTTCAAAATCCTTGGATCTATGAAAAAGTTATGGACCGGACACAAAATATACCCTGTAACAGACTATGTAAGTATTTGACCTCCAAGTGTGACCTTGACCTTGGAGGTAGGTGACCGTTTTTTGCGCATGACACATCGTCTGATTATTGTGAACAATTATGGCAAGTATTTACAAAATCCCTTCATAGATAAGAAAGTTATGGACCGGACACGACATATACCCTCAAATAGACAATGTTAACCTTGACTGAGCAAGTACGACCTTGACCCTGAAGGTACGGATCTGGTTGTTGCGCATGACACATCCTCTTATTATAACAAACATTTGTGCCAAGTTATTTCAAATTCCTTTGATAAATGACAAAGTTATGGACTGGACACGAAATATATCCTGTAACAGACTATGTTAATATTTGACCTCCAAGTTTGACCTTGACCTTGAAGGTAGGTGACTGGTTTTTGCGCATGACACATCGTCTGATTATTGTGAACAATTATGGCAAGTATTTACAAAATCCCTTCATAGATAAGAAAGTTATGGACCGGACACGACATATACCCTCAAATAGGCAATGTTGACCTTGAATGAGCAAGTGCGACCTTGACCCTGGAGGTAGGGGTCTGGTTGTTGCGCATGACACATCGTCTTATTATAATAAACATTTGTGCCAAGTTATTTCAAATTCCTTTCATAAATGACAAAGTTATGGACCGGACACGAAAGTGTGACGGACGGACGGACAGACGGACGGACTGACAGACGGACGGACAGAGCCTATTTCTATATCCCCCTTTTTTCTTCGAAAAGGCGGGGGACAATAAAAATACCTACATTACATTTATACTTTAAAATGAAAATCTATTTAACAAGAGCTGTCGGTAGGACAGCAACGCTCGACTATTCTTAGTGCTTGATACTATAAAACTAGAAATGTGTCCATAGGACACGGGTGCCCCCACCGCGCCACTGTTCTGTCAATATTTTTACTAAGTCAAGGGAAATAACTCTACAAATACTTGATAAATCCAAAAGCGAGACCCCAGGTGCAAATCTAAATATGTTGAGCAACCTGCCCGTAAGGTTTAATGACTATGTCAAATCCTTTTTGAGTAACTTGCGACACAAGTTGAAAATTGCAAAATTTTACTAAGTCAAGGGCAATAACTCTGAAAATACTAAAAATATCCAGACGAAAATACCCAGGTGCACAACTACACATGCTGATCAATATTCCTGTAAAGTTTCATGACTCTAGGTCAAATACTTTTGAGTTACATGCGACACAAGTTGAAAATTGCAAAATTTTACTAAGTCAAGGGCTATAACTCTGAAAATACTAAAAATATCCACACAAAAATACCCAGGTGCACAACTACACATGCTAATCAATATTCCTGTAAATTTCCATGACTCTAGGTCAAATACTTTTTGAGTTACGTGCGACACAAGTTGAAAATTGCAAAATTTTACTAAGTCAAGGGCAATAACTCTGAAAATACTAAAAATATCCAGACGAAAATACCCAGGTGCACAACTACACATGCTGATCAACATAGCTGTAAAGTTTCATGACTCTAGATCAAATACTTTTTGAGTTACGTGCGACACAAGTTGAAAATTGCAAAATTTTACTAAGTCAAGGGCAATAACTCTAAAAATACTAAAAATATCCAGATGAAAATACCCAGGTGCACAACTACACATGCTGATCAACATTCCTGTAAAGTTTCATGACTCTAGGTCAAATACTTTTTGAGTTACGTGCGACACAAGTTGAAAATTGCAAAATTTTACTAAGTCAAGGGCAATAACTCTGAAAATACTAAAAATATCCAGATGAAAATACCCAGGTGCACAACTACACATGCTGATCAACATTCCTGTAAAGTTTCATGACTCTAGGTCAAATACTTTATGAGTTACGTGCGACACAAAAGTGAACGGACGGACGGACGGACGAACAGACGGACGGACGGAAGGACGGACGAACAGACGGACGGACGGACGGACAAGGGTAAATCTAAATGCCCGCCACTAACGTGGGGGCACAAAAATGCTTGATACAGTTACCTCCTCCTGTTTACAGGTTGGGGTCATGATGGTCAACAAGTGTGCAAAGTTTCAAAGCCATATGTCAATGGACTTTGAAAATATTTGAGGTGTTACAAAAACTTTTAACATAAATTTTAAGTCGAACAAGAGGGCCATGATGGCCCTGAGGTCGCTCACCTGTATATAGGCCCCCTAGGCTGGCCAGTTTAAACCCCAGGGCTTTTATTTGAACAAACTTTGTAGACACTCACTAGAAGATGTTTCATGCTTAATATCTAAACTCTAGCTATTTGAGATTTTTTCAAAGAAGGTTTTTGAAATTTTTGCTATACACATATAAGGAAAATCAATGACCCCCGGGGCGGGGTCAATTTTGACCCCAGGGCTTTTATTTGAACAAACTTAGTAGACACCCATTAGAACATGTTTCATGCTAAATATCTTAGCTCTAGCTCTTTGAGTTCTTTAAAAGAAGATTTTTAAGTTTTTACTATATGCATATAGGGAAAATCAATGACCCCCCTGGTGCCGGGCCAATTTTGACCCCAGGGCTTTTATTTGAACAAATTTGGTAGACACTCATTAGAACATGTTTCATGCTAAATATCTTAGCTCTAGCTCTTTGAGTTCTTTAAAAGAAGATTTTTTAAGTTTTTACTATATGCATATAGGGAAAATCAATGACCCCCCTGGGGCGGGGCCAATTTTGACCCCAGGGCTTTTATTTGAACAAATTTGGTAGACACCCATTAGAACATGTTTCATGCTAAATATCTTAGCTCTAGCTCTTTGGGTTCTTTAAAAGAAGATTTTTTAAGTTTTTACTATATGCATATAGGGAAAATCAATGACCCCCTGGGGCGGGGCCAATTTTGACCCCAGGGCTTTTATTTGAACAAACTTGGTAGACACTCATTAGAAGATGTTTCATGCCAAATATCTAAGCTCTAGCTCTTTGGGTTCTTTAAAAGAAGATTTTTCAAGTTTTTACTATATGCATATAGGGAAAATCAATGACCCCCTGGGGCGGGGCCAATTTTGACCCCAGGGCTTTTATTTGAACAAACTTGGTAGACACTCACTAGAAGATGTTTCATGCCAAATATCTAAGCTCTAGCTCTTTGGGTTCTTTAAAAGAAGATATTTAAAGTTTTTTCTTTCGGTTGCCATGGCAACCAGAGTTCTGCATGGAATTAAATTCTTTGAACAATTTTTAAAGGTGACCACCAAAGGAACATTCCTGTGAAGTTTGGATGAAATTGGCTTAGTGGTTTGTGAGGAGATGTCATTTGAAGCAAAAGTTTACGGACGGACGGACGCCGGACAAAAGCTCACCCTGTCACTTTGTGACAGGTGAGCTAAAAAAGGGGCATAATTCTGTCAAAATGCTTAATAAAGTTACCTCCCCCTGTTTACAGGTTGGGGTAATGATTGTGAACAAGTGTGCAAAGTTTCAAAGCCATATGTCAATGGACTTTGAAAATATTTGAACTATTAATTTACAAAAACTTTAACATAAATTCTAAGTCGAAAAAGGGGCATAATTTTGTCAAAATGCTTGATACAGTTACCTCCTCCTGTTTACAGGTTGGGGTAATGATGGTGAACAAGTGTGCAAAGTTTCAAAGCCATATGTCAATGGACTTTGAAAATATTTGAACTATTACAAAAACTTTAACATAAGTGGTTACGCTGACGCTCGGGTGACTACAATAGCTATACTTATTCTTATCGAATAGTCGAGCTAAAAATTATGGTTTTTAAGTCTGAACACCTCTCAAAAGATTTACTACTTAAATGATTTAATCCTATAGATCTACAAATTTACCTTCAGCTCTGGTAACAGTCCTGCCCGACTGATTATCAATACTCAATTCCCTGACAATCTGTTTGTTCCTGTGTTCTAATATTCTCTCAATAGCTCGTCTGTCTGGCGAGGGCGGGGCTTCCACTTCTTCAACAACTTCTGTCACTTTCTTTGTGACCTTACCGTCATGTAGACCTTTGGGCTTGACCTTTGGAGTTGGTAAAAGTTCATCATCCCATAGCTCATCATCATCTAACTGATTGATATCCACTCGACTTTTTTTCGAAGCTGGAACTGAAATTAAACTTCATTATTTTTTAAAGAAATCTTTGCTAGAAAACAAGTTAACCAACATTAAATGACATTAGGAGAGAGATTTACCAAAGTCATTGACTTCCTCCTCAATCCTGTTTCTAAATTGTAATGTGTTTTGTTGATATATTTAAAGTAAGAAAGGATTTTAGTTACATAGTTTATACTTAATATACATTATTCATGACAGCCCATAAATGTGTTAAATTTTCTACAACAGAACTCGATTTAAATCCATTCGAATTCCACAGTATGAAATAAATCATCTCTGCCACACGTATAGAAGCAAGCTTAAATTTTGTTCACTTTGACCAGAATTCATTATTTTTTATAAATTTCAGTACTTTGATATTGGATGGCTGATATAAAAATTAAACTACAATTAACCATTGAACAGTGACCAGCATTTGCTACCATTTCAGAGCCAGGCCGACCTGAACTTTCATGCAGACAAACCAGACTATACAGTTTGCTGACAAACAACATTATCATCATGATATTCATACAACTGATAACAGGCAGTTCCAACAAGAGCTATCACATCAGACAGCGAAGCTCGACTAATGAAATCCTGGATGCAGTAAGGAGGACAAAACTATGAAAGAAAAATCAATTATGTATAATTATGTATTAAGTTACAGTAAAAAATAACATTTGTTAACATAAATTCCAAGATCAAGGGGAATAATTCTAGAAATAGTCATGCTAGAGTTATGGACCTTGCCACACAACATTTGTGTAATGATAAGAAATATATATTTGAAGTTTGAAGTAGATACCTTAAAAAATAAAGAAGTTATTATATTTCTTAAAGAAAATCCTAAGTTCAAAGAGAGATAAATCTGTAAATATTGCTTCAAGAGTTATGAACATTGTCACATAAAATGTAATTGATGATAAGGAATAAGTATTTGAAGTTTGAGGTGGATACCTTTAAAAATAAAAAAGTTAAAATAAAAAATAACATTTTTCTAGTAAATAAATCTAAGTTTATGGGGAGATAATTCTTGCAATATTGGTGCTAGAGTTATGAACCTTGTCACATAAGATGTGGATGATGATAACGTAAATATAATTGAAGTATGAAGTTGATCACTTCAGAAATAAATAAGTTACAGTAAAAAATAATATTTTTTATGGAAAATTCTAAGTTCAAAGGGAGATAAATCTGAAAATATTGGTGCTAGAGTTATGAACCTTGTCACATAAGATGGGGATGGTGATAACGTAAATATATTTGAAGTATGAGGTTGATCCCTTAAGAAATAAAGAAGAAACAGTAAGAAATAGTATTTTTGGAGGAAAATTCTAAGTTCAAGGGGAGATAAATCTGAAAATATTGGTGCTAGAGTTATGAACCTTGTCACATAAGATGGGGATGATGATAAGGTACATATATTTGAAGTATGAGGTTGATCCCTTAAGAAATAAAGAAGTATCAGTAAAAAATAGTATTTTTTAAGGAAAATTCTAAGTTCAAGGGGAGATAAATCTGAAAATATTGGTGCTAGAGTTATGAACCTTGTCACATAAGATGTGGTTGATGATAAGGAACATATATTTGAGGTTTGAAGTTGATACCTTTAGAAATGACAAAGTTATAGTGAAAAATATTTTACTGCACCAAAACTTTAATCTAAAATCTGGACGCGGACGCCGGGGCGAGTAGGACAGCTCTCCATATACTTAGTATAGTCGAGCTAAAAATGGAAAATGGACAAATCAGTTCAAGAAATCTTGCAGGTCAAGGGTTAATGTGAAAGTTTTAAACTGACTTCATGCCAAGTCTATATCATAACCGTGGCTGAGATATAGCAAGAATAGCCTGAAAATCGGTACCTGACAGATCAATGTCGTCATCATCATCATATTCAAGGTCACTGTCAGACTCATTATGCTCTTCTCTTCCTCTCTTCTTCTGACTGGAACCATTCAACTTCCTGCTTTCTCCATTGTTGAGAAGTGAACCAGTCATTGGAATCATAGGGCTTCTTACTGGATTCTCTGGTAACTTTTTGTTTTTAGGTGTTTCAAACTGAAGAGATTTTCTTGGCTTTGGAGACATTCTGTCTGGTTCTAAAAAGAAAAGAAGATTATATTTATTCAAGCCTATCATTCAATGACATGATTCAAATAAATGATATAAGTCTTTGTTTATGTAACTATTTCAGTCAAAGTTCATTTATATCTACATGTATTTAATATTCATATTCGGTATCCTCTTTCTTATTCTGTCATGAATATGAATTAAATCTTTACAGTAAAGCAAGTCACAGTACATAATTAACTAAATTACTTAGCAAATTAAAACTGTCATCTTTGTTAAAACAAGGTTTCATTGATTCAGAGTCAACTCGTCCCCTGGTCAACTCGTCACCTTTTTGGTCAACTCGTCCCCTGGTCAACTTGTCCCCAACTCGTCCCCTATATTTTATTATTATTTGTTTTTCATATATTTCATAAATTATTATACACTGTTAAAATAATTTATTATAAAATTACTGAATTTAACATATTTTGACGCTTTTTGTATGCCAATATTACGTCACCTTAGTGCAATAACGTAATAAGTGCTTCTTTATTTAATAACAGTTATTGAGTTCTTGCACTAATGTGACAAAATTTTGGAGTTTTTTTCATCTAATAATAAGTATAATATATATGCATAATTCTGATTAAATTACATACAGAAAAAAACAACACGAAGTCGATCAATAGCAATAACATTTAATGTATAATGTATTATATTTATCAGGGCAACTTTTATATTGACAATTTCACAACAAACAATTATCATATTTTTAATTGACACAATCCTTCTATAATGAGATCAATACGCACCGACATCAAGTTTTTAGTACTTCTAATTTCTGTTAATCTGTCGTCAGTCTTTAATCCATTCATGGAGGCGGTAAAAATCAAAGAGTTGGACCTAATTTTAGTTTTAATTACCATTAAAACTCCGATTAATTAAACATTAATTGAATGTTTGCAAACTTACCTGTCTTTGTAGTTTTACATCAAAGCTATGCACGTGCTCTTAGCTAAAGATCATTAAAATTTAACGTAAAAAAGACGTTATTTTACTAATATTTTGATATCAGTCAAATTCATTATTAATTATACATAAAAGAACTATTTAAAGACATTGATTTACAACATAATAGTGACGATTAGATCGAAGGTAGGGGACGAGTTGACCATATTAGGGACGAGTTGACTCTTTGAGGACGAGTTGACCAAAAGTAGGGGACGAGTTGACCAAAAAGGTGACGAGTTGACCAGGGGACGAGTTGACCGGATTGCGTTTCATTCACGGGCTTTTATCAGTGACCGAAATATTAACAATATGGCTATTATTTTTTATATTAAAGGTTAGAAATAAAAGACAAAAAACTTTTGTATTCATATACGGTATTTTGGCCATGATTTGTATGAATGAAATGATAAATTTCAGAACCAAAAAAGCAATATATTTTAAAAAGTGAAGTTCGAGCCGAAAATACCATCGTACGAAAATACCTCAAATTGCCGAAAACATTTACCATATTTACCAAACAAACGTCTAATATTTCATTACAAAACATTTCATTATTTATTATTTCATTTGTACGCATCATTTATTAACAACAAAAATATGTTTTTATTACATTATATCAAAAATATATCTTATTTTCGTAGACTCGATCTTATTTTAGCTTTTCACGGCAATTTGAGCTATTTTCGTACGTATGTATTTTCAGCTCAAACCAGGGCTCATCCTGGGTGAAAATTTTAGGGAGAAGTGACTTCCTCACGAAAATTAGGGAGAAGGGAAACAACCCAATGTGTATGCATTAACATGCATGGCTACATATGAGTCACTCTCAAATCCTCTCTTCTCAGTGTTCGAAATTAGCACTAGTCCTATAGCCCCTGACTACTAAATTTCTCCTCGGGCTACCAACTTTTCAAAGTAACAAGCCCAGCCAGACGACTGTATTTTCAGATGCAATATAAAAAACTGTTTAGAACAAATGAATCCTGCTAGTGAAATGTCTTTTGGGCTATTGAATATTCCAATCTGGTAGTCCGACCAGCCTAGTAGTTTCAAATCCGAATTTCTTACACTGTCTTCTATACCCAATTTGATTGTTGTACTGTCAGACTCCTTTTATTTTTTATATCTATTTATCAACTATTTATAAGCTTTCTCTAAATATTTGTTTAGATATTTTCATGTAGATTTGTTGATAATAATGTGTAAGAAGAAATATGATGAATAAATTAATTTTATATTTTTTACTTTCCTCACTTTTTAAAAAAGATGAAGTTTCATTAGGTGTTGAATAATAAAATCTGTTCTATTCTGTTCTGATAACAGAAATATCTTTAAAGATCCTGTATGTTGTATAATCATGTTTAAGTGAAATTTTGTATTTCATATAATTATGCTAATACAACAATTTTCAAACATCGAAGAATATGTAAAATATGTACTGCAAATATTTGTGCACATTATATTTAGTCACTAAAATATATACATTCATTTCTTATTGAAAGATTTGACTGAGACATTATAGAAAATAAATTTCTTATTACCTCCCTTTATTTTCATGAAATGTTTAATTTGGTAATATCTTTATAAATGATGATTTTTGAAACTTACAATATTGATAAATCCTTAATTTGAGCATCATATTTATGACATAGAAACAAATATATACATTGAAACACTTCTTTCCTGATTTTTTGTTGTTACATACATTACATGATATACGACGGATATTTACAACTTACATGTAGCATGACGATCATGATTCCTAGTTTTAGTCGGGATGTCATGCCTACGTGCGTAAGCTGTGTCAAATTTGGCAATTCTACACAGAGAAGAATGCCAAACACCCTCACTGTCTACAACATACCAATTGTAAGATTTTTGCGAAATGGCTTTTTTAAATTTTCGCGCAAGTCTTCTTACTTTCTTTTACTGCTAGGTTTGGGCAATTCGCCCTGTAGCCATGACGTGAGCGACATTACAATTTTACAGTGAAAATTGATGTTAATGGACTGAAATCATTCAAGAATATGAAAAAGTTTTACAATAAAAAGATCAAATTTTTTTTCCATTAAAATACATATGATACAAGTAATTAATAGTTTCTGTTGACGTAAATAATCCCATAAGAGCTGATTTTAAGAAAATAATATTCATATTCAGTACTCCCGTTCATATTCGTGAATATGAATTCATATTTGGTATTTAGTCATACCGTTGTTGAGTTTTAGTTTCAAACTGAAACAAGATTGCATTTGTAAAAAATGCTATGCCACCGCATAAATACAACACTAAAATAGTAATGTAGGAACAAATTTTTTTTGTTTTGACCCAAGGGCTTTAATTTGAATAATCTTGCTAAAGTTTCACTACACAATGTTTACTGCAAAATGTCTCACCTCTAGCCTTTGTCAATTCGAGAAGGTGATTTTTTAAAGTTTTTACTATATACATGTAAAGAAAACCTATGACCCCGGGGCAGGGCTAGTTTTGACACTAGAGGCAAAATTTGAACAACTTTGGTAGAGTACCTATAGATGATAACATATACCAAATATCAAAGCTCTAAGCCTTGTACCTTCAGACAATAAGATTTTTTAATTTTTTACTATATAGACATAGTGAAAATCAATGACCCCCGGGGGTGGGGCCAATTTTGACCCCAGGGCTATAATTTGTTCAATCTTGCTAGAGGTTCACTACACAATGTTTCATGCAAAATATCTAACCTCTAGCCTTTGTCAATTTAGAGAAGATGATTTTTTAAGTTTTTACTATATACATATGAGGAAAACCTATGACCCCCCCAGGGCAGGGCTAATTTTGACACTAGAGGCAAAATTTGAACAACTTTGGTAGAGTACCTATAGATAATAACACATACCAAATATCAAACCTCTAAGCCTGGTACCTTCAGACAAGAAGGTATTTTAAGTTTTTACTATATGTACATATAGTGAAAATCAATGACCCCCGGGGCGGGGCCAATTTGGACCCAAGGGCTATAATTTGAACAATCTTGGTAGAGGTCTACCAGAAAATGCCTTATGCAAAATATCTAAGCTCTAGGCCTTTTGGGTCTTTACAAGAAGTTTTTTTAAATTTATTCTTATAATTCCTTTTGGTTGCCATGGCAACCAGAATTCTGCATGGAATGAAATTCTTTGAACAACTTTGGAAGGCCTTCACCCAAGGATCAATCCTGCCAAGTTTGGTTGAAATTGGACTAGTGGTTTTTCACAAGAAGATTTTTTAAGTTCACTATATAATCTATATAACACACACACACACACAAACAAACACACACACACAGGTGAATCGCTATATGCCACCGCATCGCGGATGCTGCGGTGGCATAAAAAAGTGTACAGATGTATTCACTTATCAACATGGCAAAGTGGTCAAGATACCTGTATAAACACACAACGCCAGTGTTAGTGAGAATGTGTTTCCTGCTGATTACGAAAGAACACATTATTTCTCACTAATACTGGCATTGTGTGTTTATAAGCTGGATTTATGTCGGACTTTACTCTCATTAATACTGGCGTCTTGTGTTGAATTATGGTGGTTTCGTCGAACTACCAGTTTGGCAAACTTTATTTATTAAGAGGTGCGAAAGTGGTTTCTTCGATCTTATTTTATATAGTAATTAAAGGCAAAGTAAACATGGTTCATTTGTATGTTTGTTGCATTTTATGCCTTTTCCCAACAGTATTTCAGTCATAACTCTTAGGCGGGTAATTTCCTAACCATCCTTCCTGGAGAGTTACACCAGTACTAGACTACCTTCCTCCGCACTAAACTACCAAAGCATCTCCAAGGGATCAAACCCACACCAGAGAGGTAACTGGGTTAAAAGTCATCGACTATAACCCCTCGACCATGGAGGCGGTTCAGGCATGGTTCATGTATATAAAGTGGTTTTATCATCAATATGTTTGTTGTAATCAAATTATGACGCAAAATTTCATTTATGAATATAATACATTATATTAATAGAAGTATGTCTATTT